ATCTGTGCTGTAGCATTCAGGTGAGGTGGCACTATAAATTATGCCATTGAAAGCGCGGTCTCTTTTCAAACAGAACACATACCATCTCCAGCACACACGCAGGCATACACACTTAGATAGATATTAGCCAGGTGGCATAGGACTAGTAGTTAGCGCCTGATAAGGCAGCTCCTGCGAATTTCTCCAAATTGTCTATGCTAACTTGTATTAATTGTATATCTATGTACTGTAAAGTAAAGCGCTTTAACATATTTTATTATGCAAATATCAGTAGTAACAATTTGATGTATAACAAAGCAGTCATTTTGAGAAGTTTTGTTAAATCATGTAATGCAATAACACCCGTAATGAATACAGCAGATTTTGAGAACAATGTAAATAAGATTTGATAAAGTATTCGGAATTGCGATGTTACAAAATTGAAAATTCATTTAAACAAGTACCAATTCGGTTTTTAAAGCTTAACAGCTTTGTCAACAAATGTTCAAACGATAGCGATATTCACCTTTTGAACACTTGTTTACCCATTTAAGAGACAAGGCAACTATCGCTGTGAGCAAACATGTCTAGTTAATACTTTAAAACTATTCAAAATCATATTGAATATTGACTTCCTGTTAAAAAATAGCACCTTGTCAACAGTATACTGTATAATAGAATCAAAACAAAGGGGTAAAGCATTAAATATATTACACCCGATATCAGAAACGCCGTTATGATATTCGCGAATATATCATTTAACTTGTTCTGTTGCAGTTATAGCATCTCCGCCGTCGTGTTTCTCCTGTTCCTCTATCTCTCCCGCACGATACTGCGACTAGTACACAAAGTGTTCTGATGGGGAGGTTGGTATAATAAACACATATGGAGTGAAAAATTAAACTTTTTCTTATATTCAATTCAGCTTTTTATACCTACTTCGATATGTTTTCCATTGCAAGTACGGCTTAAGTTACATTTATAGGGACCGCAGAACCAAATGATTTTCCATAGACGATAGTGTTAACGTTTACCACTGTCCTGGTTAAATGGGGTTATCCACACTGGTTTACCTGCCACCATTTTGAAGAATATCATCTCACACAACTGTGAATAAAATATTTAAAAATTCTGCCAATTTGAACTTTTATATGGGGGCCGCCATCTTGTATTGAATTCGGCACCAAAAATCGACCAAAATTTACAACAAATTATACACTTAATACACTCATCCAGACAAAAGCAGACTTGATTTAAAAAAATAAAATATTATGCATATTACATCTATATATATTGCTCAACCCACACATAAAACTTTTGAAACTTCTGCCACCTAAAAATCCAATCAGCAGGCCCCGAGGCATTCACCTTCCTATTAAATCTTCTGCCCATAAGGGAAAAACCCACAATCTATTTTTGATTTGGTTCCGTGGTCCCTATTAGAACTCCCTTCCATATCCAAGTGAAATATTTTGTACTGTTATGACTGATATTATATTTACCATCAGATATGTATAAACGATCTGTGTTGGAAATGGACAATAAAAGGAAATGTATGAGAGTCTAACTTACTGAGAGACATAGATAGTATAAAAATAGCATATTTATATCTAAACAAGTAAACAAAAATATACTTTTTATGTGTTTTAAATCCTAATCCCGCATAGCAGTGTTCAATTCAGGGCTACCTTTATCAATCTAACATGTAAATGTCCATGAATGCACAACAAGTGGTCTTGTTTAATAGCGTTAAAGCACAACAGTGTAATTATACCCCCCGCAACGAAGTTAAGGGAGTAAACTGGAATCACTCTGTCTGTCGTCCGCAGTAACTTAACCGGATAACTCCATTTTAACTAACCGGCAGATTTTATTGAAACTTCATTTGAATGATCAGTATATTATGTAGTTGTGTACCGGCATTGTAATTTCAGATTTCAACTTTTTTTAAGAGAGTTACGGTTCATTATGCAAAATAACTTGTCCGGAAACTCCAAGGTCAAGGTCACTAAATGAAGTATAAACTACGAGCATCTACTAGTTAACTCCGGATGACAGTTCTAGATCATATAGATACAAACAATAGGAAAATACTTATATATTGATTATCGATTTATCTAGTCAAGCTAAATATATAGCACGGGGATACTTTACTCCGCTTGTTCCAGTCTACTCAGCTGTAAATGATCATGAGTTCGTGGTTGGGCAGTGCTTGAATTGTAGAATGCTAACTGTGAGCGCCGAAATGGCAGGTCCGGCTGTGTGCTCCCCGGGGAGTTAAGAAAGATATTTGCTGGTGGCAAATGCCCTATAACCACAGACAATAATTTGTGAGCCGCTTTGAGACGATCTACGAACAAGCTTGTAAAAAAGCGGTATATAAAAACCTCGAATTATTATTGTTATAATTGATTAGATATTGAGGTGCAGTATACATGCTTGAGATAAAGCTGTATCTATTATTTCTCCAAAAGGCGTTGTTTTCATCTGCATAAAGTATATGGTGTGCTTTCGAACGTGTGTTTCCATAATTTTACACACAACAAATGTAAAACTAAATATTCTATAGTCACCTGTGTTGCATTTATCGTTTTTCAGGTATCTATCTCCATTGTCGTTCTTTTCAGCTTTCTTATATTTTTACTCTGTCTAAGTGACAGATTGTATGTGATTTAAGTGGTTTTGACAGTGTTTTTAATACTTTCCTGCAAAATCATACATAAGTGTCTATTTCATCCGGGGCTTTGTCAAACTGGTTTACAATTTGCTGGATTTTTTTAATTTAGTTTTTTGGAGTCCATTTATCAATCTACATAATCGATATTTGTTAAAAAAAATGTTTTCTGATCATGCTAAAGTTACAAGTCAGCAGTATTTTTTTCTTCCCTTTTTCAACATCCTATTTTAGTTCCGTCACACAAGTTGCGTTACAGATTTTCAACAATTGGTATAAGAAGGTCTGACTGTATTAATGATTTTCTACTTGACAGGTCCTCCTCCCAAACAGAACTGGGGATAGCACTGTTCTAATTTGAACACCTGTCTGACCCAAGCGAATGTGATCAAGTGACAATCTGCAATATCAATGAGGTAAGCAATGCAAAAATGTCTTCCTTGTGGTCCTAGCTGTAAGTTGAATCATCAAAGTTATTGATATATTCAGTACCGTTCAGTGTATTATGTTTTCTGTGGAAGGAAAAATCGATAATAAGAGTCTAGCCCCAGTTTTCTCTGGACCTGACACCAGACGTAGACATTTTGACTGATAGATTTCAGGTGTTGGGCCAGAGCGCACTACTTTATGAAAACGTGAAATTCTCCGACACAGTTTGGTATCGGAGAATTATGAGGTTCAAAATTTCCCACCTGACCGAACGCCATTTTTGTAGGTGATGACTATTCAACAAAAAGAGGTGGTTCGGAAATCTTCTAAACAAGAAAAAATATTTTCTGTTTTCGGTCTGGATTAGGACGGTTTGTTGATTAGTCACCCCATGGCCTACACAAATGGTGTTCGCTCAGATGTAGAACAAATATATGAAAAAATAATGATAAAAGACATTGTACTGCTAACTTAGTTAGCGCTTATACATTTTTTATTCATTTTTTTTTATGTTGAGGACATGGCTTCTCTCCCATTAAAAATTCAAAAGGTTGGCAAGTATGCATTTATGAATACTATCAATATTAGCACTAACTCCCCTTTACCAGTACAATGTCTTTTATCATTATTATTTCATATGTTTGTTCTACCCTTAAATTGTATCTGTATCTAAGGAAGGTGTTAATTGCACTTAAGTTTTGTAAACAAATGATATATGGTATTGATAAGTGCATACTTGCCAACCTTTTGATTTTTTTCATGGGGGAGAAGCCGTGTGCTCAAAATTAAAAAACTCGTAAATAACACAATTATTAGCACTTACACATAAAAACGCAGCAAAATTGTATCTTATAATAACTGTAATCACTGTAATAACAGGATGGCAAATACAGATTGATATATAGTGTGTACACTACCAGTTCGAGATGTTATTTAATTCTTAAAAGAATTGAACAGGTAGTTAAACGCATACGGCGCGCGCTGGGCGGATATTTGTTGGTCCGGGTTATGGCCTTAACGTACTGTGGCGAATTTATTGATATTCGTTAAAATGAATGAATGAACTTGATTGACCTCACACGAGTGATGTAAGAAAGGATGACAAACATGTTTGTATTTACAGTAAATAACTGATTTTAGTACAAAATAGTCAATTACCGCTTTGTTATTCTTCCCAAAAACAATCAGACGGCTGCATTTGCAGTAAAACACAACAGTTTCGATTTTCCTGTCCAAAAGTGGTGTAACATAATATCTTGATCTGCTATGGAACGATGATATGCACAGAGTCTTTTGGGAATGAAAGTCTATTAGTTATGACGTTATCTTTTGTAATATCTTTCTTAACTCCACTGAGGGTAAGATTTTGAGGGACGTTGTGATTATAATTCATCCGTAAGAAACATGGAAGTTCCAAACTAAGTAAGAGTTGCTCATCATGTTTATCTAATTCGCGTTGTTTAACTTTAATGCTGCATAAAGACATGAGTTTTATTTAGTTTTGGGGACATTTTGTTCCCACAACGTCAGACATAATATCTAGAAAACCATATGTTTCTCTTCGGAATACACCATTCCTGTATCTGGGCGTAGAAACAAATGCGATGATCTATGACGTCATTATTAAAACAGCGATCAATTAAATAACATCCGAGGTGTTTTCCACTAGTGGGTAACCTAAAATGTTTACCAGCTCCAAACATATTTTATAATGAGTCGGGAGTTAGGAAACTTACTGCGATCATGGGAGAAATATTGTTATTGACGCAATCATTTTTATTTTAGGATTCACGATTTCCTGACCACCTGTACTCTTTATCTGACGGAACTATGTCTTGAGTGACCAAGGCAATGTAACATGCGATAAGAACTATCAGGTGTATAGGTAACACGCCACTGAGAAACGACAGATTTTTTTTCTTATTCTCAGTGCCTCAGCGCCATACCTTCGGCCAAGACTGACTGGAGTATCACTCACAAGGTACAAGTAGGAGGACTTATCTTATCAATTTTTTTCTTCAACTAATTGGAGCCTATTTCTCTTTTTTTTTCTTGTCTGGTTATATAATACATTTTCACTTTTAATATTAACCCAAATGGCTGTGATAGGGTATATCTTCACTAATCAATTAATCTTGAAACCAACGTTTATCAATCAGAGTATAGGTAACTGATATACTGACGTCTGTTTTGATGTCATTTTAACAGGAAATATGGTTTCACTTCTTACCCTTCTCAATGCTTTGGCTCTGATTATACAAAGTAAGTAACACTTTTTCCTTTGCAAATGTGAATGATTATGATCAAACAAATATATCGGACACAAATATCAAAAATGCATTAAAAGTAAACACATTTAATGAATATTTCCCATAAAATATCATTGTACATTATTTGATACATAACACAGATTGATTTCGAGAAGTTTGATCACAACTATTAAGTAATGCAATAGCTCCAGTGATTGAGAGAGTGGATCCAAGGGAAAAGGTAATCTTGAACAGATAGGATAGTCGGTACAGCGATCAAACGATATTGAAAGTTTAGTTAAGTAAACAAAAAAACCATTTAGAATTTGAAACTAAACAGTTAGTTAAGTTAAGTAAACATATAACTATTTATAATTTGAAGATAAACAGCTTTGTCAACTAATACTTTTGCGAGAACGATGTTCAATTACCGATTGTCAATGCATACAATACATGACTGAAACCTTCTGTTTACTCTGTCTACAGACAGCAATTGCCCCTGTGAACAAACACATGACTATTACATTGAAAAAACTATTTAAAATCATAATAAAAAAAGATTTACTGTTTAAAATTAGAACATTGTCAACAACATTTTTATAACAAATTATTGCATTTTTATTTAGACAGAAATGGATTATCTCTTACCAGCTACTGTCTGTTTTAAGTTTAATGATCAATCATAGACCAGTCATATTTTGCTTTATGCAATGATTCATTAAACTCGTTACAGTGATGCACGAAACAAAACATACGAGTAAAGAATACTAATATCTGTCAAAGGGTATCAAAAATGTTGCATTTACTTTTGTGTTCATATCATGTTCTGTTTCAGCTCTTGCATCTCCGCCGTCGTGTTTCTCTTGTTCCTCTATGTCACACGCGCGATACTGCGACTATTACACAAAGTGTTCTGATGGGGAGGTTAGTATAACATACACATGTGGTGAACATACTTTCCATTTTTCCTTCTTTATTTACCCATTTTTATAATTTTCAAGACATTGACAAATCTACATTCCATTTAAAATGAAACTACATCTAATTAATTAATCATACACTCATAGCACGCTTTGCTCATAATCAAGGACGGTTATTTTAGTTGTTGAATAAACAGCGTGGGATAACACGTTAAACCATTTAAAAACTTAGTTTGGCGATGTTGATTTGATGAAATCTGACCGTTGACCCGAGACTAACTTTTGGCCCGAACTACTTTTTTTTCCGCACGCAAATGTTCTTCATATGTCAATAATGGCAAACTTTGACATTGCTTCTCTGTGTAGATGGGGAAAGGGGAAGAGTTGCAAGTCGATCCCATAACTTTGGTTTTCAAACATTTTAGATTCAATTGGATTCGGGGCAGATTCATACTGTACCCCGATACAGGTTTGATAATTGCCATCCTCAGACCTGTCGACGTTCCTAACAAAAGTGTCAATGTTGATCTGGTATAGAAACATTCCAAACACCCAAATGTCAGACTGATATATCACCACCTCTACTTGAAAGACAATACACCTCCCCTGAATACAGCGTGCACATACCGTCCGCATATCGCCCTCACATTGTGTGCACAACAAGGCGATTTAACAATCGATCACCCCGTTGTGCAATAAAACGCACATATGTGCGATATGATGAGATCGGTTGATCGTTGATACAGAATGAAAACAAAAATCCAAAATAATAAGGAACATCCAACACGTATAAATATTAGCTTTATTTATGTTGTAATTGTTCTTGTACTTCAATGCATGTTACATTTTATTAGAAAGCCCGCAATACTATCATTAATGAGATTGTACTCACATATATGATTTGGCAGTTAGTTATCGCATAGTTGCGCGCAAGCTATTACCGCAGTTTTGCATCGTGTGTACACCGTGCACACACAGCATATCGTTTAACTGTGTATGTTTATGTCGGGCGGTGTAACAAAGTAAGCTTTAACGGACTTAAACAAAACATGTTGACATGATTATAGAAAAACATTTCATAAACATAATCGGAAATAAATTTGACGTTTTGATAAAAGGGACGAAGGTAACACAGTAAGCTTACCAGAAACTGTTGTATTACTTAAATACTTATAATCTGAGTAAATAGTCCGGGAGTGTAGAGAAATGTCATGATAAAATCAGTTTTCTTCAGAATTAAATGCCAACTAACCCAGGGAGTAAAGCCAAACCATACCGATAAATGCCACATAATTATGTACATGCAAGGATTTAGTTATTACAGGTTATTAGTGAGAACGCCGTGCATACCAAAAGTTCCTTCTGGGTATTATCCAAGAGCTTGCGGCTATAGTGACGACGGTTGGCCTTTTGATTTAGTATAGAACAGGAAAGATTTCCTTAACAGACAGTCGGGTCCTGGAGGCTAGTAAGGACAAATATGATGTTTACCCTAGCAGACAGTACAAGTCATAGAAGCCAGTGAGATGGTTTTGATACAGGTATTGAGATTTTACTTTTACGTTACTTAGCTTAAAGAGTGAGACACAACGCTGAAGTTACAAGTCTATGTAACTGTACGTAGAAGAGATGTTGTTATCACCTGTAAATGTGTTTGTAATGAGACTGTTGATGAACGTCTATGAATAAAAAATCAATATTACCAACTATTACGAGGGTAGTGTAGTGGAAAGCACACTTGCCTTTCACCAAGGCGGTCGGGGTTCGATTCCCCGATAGGACGTGAAAAGGTAGGAGGTCGTCCCTTGCCGACCACTTGGGTTTCTCTGGGTACTCCGGTTTCCTTCCACGATAAGACCCTCCGCCAGCTTACATCCGAGTCAACAAGATACATTAATATAAGTTGATAACTTGTTTTATTATTGTTGCAAAATAAATAAAGTATATATACACATATCTATATGAAATATGCAATACAAAAATGTGTTAATCAACAGCATAGAAAGCATTATATTTGAATTTCCCTCGAATTTTTAATAAACCGAACATGATACCAGTCTGTATCACCATCTTCAGATTCGCCAGTTTAGTTTCCCTTCAACCCACTGAAAGTTCTGGCAAATTCGATACGGCGGAATTCCATCTACATTTGATGTCATTTTCAGCATGGTCTGATTCCTCAAAACTTATGGCAATTCGCAATCTAACGCTGCATGGCTGTTCTCGTTCTCGCATGAATATTATTATATTCATTACTATTTTCATTCAGGGTATACGTTAAGGATGAAATGAAAATATATTATAAAACATAACTGTCGAACTGTTTTAAACCAATGCAAGTATATAAGGAACCAATGTAAATTAAATAAATGTTTTCCAATAACTAGGTTTGCTATGTAAAGAAGAGTGAAAACTACAATGGTCATTTCCATTACACGTCCGGCTGCGTTAGCAATACGGTAAGTATATTTTACATGCTGTTTATTCTGGTCACATAAAAATGATATAGGTAATAGTACGTTTGTAGTATGAAGATAGTATTATAAACTTTCCTGGCACGATATGCACGTGGGCTAAAACAATGATGTGGTGTCTTTGCAAGATTTTATTTTTCGACTTTATCTGTAGAACCGGGAAACCTATTTTCATAGTAGTTGTCCAGAAGCTTCTTGTGTTAATGGGATGTCAATTAAGTTCAAATAATACATTTCTGTATCACTGATGAAGTTTGCAATGCCTCAGAAATTAAATTTGTTTTGACTTCAGAGGCCTATTGTTTTGAAATTTGTTAACTCGAGTAGAGAGCTTTCATGTTTGCTAAACTAATCAATAGTTAAGGTCACGTGGTAAACTTTTCATAATAGGTTGAGAGTCATGTTAGATTTATATTTATTTAAATGAATGACATTGACTTACTTGTAAATAGTTCAAATGTGTAGAAAATTTAACTACTTCTATCATATTATCAGACCTAGATTCAGTTTTCGTGCTCTTCCTGCGTTTTGTTTACAAGCACTGTGGGGTTTTTTCCCAATAATATGTTTATATTTCTGGAGAGGAAATGCCGTTAGGTTAGGCATGATATTTTGTTAATGGGATTTGTATGATATTTTGTAAGTATATTGAGCAGCGAAATGCGTCAAGCGCACATATATAAACCTGTAAATACTATTGAATATAATTTGTACGACATTCTGATCAAATGCGCAAGGCGCTTATACGATATGTTGTGTGTATATATTAGGTAATGAGGTTAGAACGATTATTAAGTGTTGGTCATAAGTGTGATAAGAAATAAAACTTAAGGTAGTGGGAGAAAACGTTTGTTAAGTTGAATTTTATCCCTTTAACATGATGAAGAACACGAATGTCACAGATATATTAATCTTATTAGACGTGTGGAACTTTCGTCCCCAATGTAACATCCGGTCTGAGGTATTCGTCTCACGGGCATGACGTATGTCGTGAGTGTTGCTATAGTGATATGTGTAACAACAAAGGCTGTGGTGACAACGGTAAGTTGTATGAAATATATAATGTGTGGGCTCTTTTGTAATTTCGTTGGGTATATTTATCAATCTAAATATTGTTTATTTTTAGTAAAATATATTTATGCCGAAATAACAAGCCGACATAACTCATCATTTTTTTACTCTTTGGTTTTTCAACATTTGCTTTTACTTTCGTAGCAAGTAGCGTTCACAGATCTTCCACAATTTGTATATGGAGGTCTGACCGTATTAATGGTATTATATGTGGTAGGGCCTCCACCCAGACAGGACCGGGGACCGTACTGTTTTCAATGTGAACACCTGTCGGACCCAAGCGAATGTGATCAAGTGACAATCTGCAATATCAATGAGGTAAGCACCGGAACGGTCTTCCTTGTGGTCCTACAGTAGCTATAAGTAGAATCACCGAAGTTATTGTTCTATTCAGTGCCGTCCTCTGTATGATATATGTTTGTAAAAAAAAACACAACTCAAAATGATAACTGAATTGCAAGTTTTTTTTGTAATACAACTGCGGTTAACACTCTCGAAAAAGTAACTTACCATGAAATAGATTACATCGTTTAAGGAAATTCTTGATAAACAATCAGATAGCCTATTTTTTATCTATTCCTTTATTTCAACAAAGGTATGCGGAGTTGAGGAAAAGGAGTTTTTTCAACAAGAACATCAGTTCACAACTGGATGCAAAAGAAAATCTGTAAGACAATACGTATATTAAGTTTATATTTTCCCTCACTACCAGACTGGAGACGCTATGTTGAGTTTAATCTAAGAAACACTTTAAAACTGCATATTATAATATTTATCATGTATAAAGAAAGTGCAATTTCCTGTAATGCCTTACACTTTCTCACAATTCTGGCAATCGTTCAATTTTGTTTGCGATAACGTAAATGCTTAAAACATAGAAAATCAGTTTTGTTAAAAAGTATTTAACAACATGGATTTACCAATATATGTTCACATCAATAATTTTACATACCCGTGAAACCTTTTTGGCTGACTGGAATACAAAATTATTAGTAAACGAATGAAGGAATTATTTAGAAAAAAAGGCTGAAAAGACGACTAATAGAATTTCATAACCTTGGGGTAATATTTAGAGGTAACCATTTCCACATCCTACTCCGTATCAGCCCGATACTCCTATATCAGCTCGAGGGGCCTTACGCCCGAAGGCTGATATGAATAAGGGCTGAAACAGAGTTAGATATGGAAAATGTCATATGATTTTTTTTATCATTTGCATGTACCTCTCTTAAATATCAAAATTATTAGCATTAACACATACACACAGAAAGTTTATATCTCACAATAACTATTATCACATTCTACTTTGAATAAAATACAATAAATAGGATTGCAAATACAGATGGATTTTTAGTGTGTACACTACTAGTTCGAGGTGTTATTTATCTCTTAAAGGTGTTGAACACGAAGTTAAACGTATATGGCGCAAATATGTAAATCTATCATTTCATTGAAACCTTTTGCTTTTGTTGTGTCTTTAGGAGTGTCATGAATCTTTACTTGTTGGCCGTGCCATGAACAGTTCCGTGAGATCACTCAATATGTGTGACCAGTGTTGTGAAAGCGATTTTTGTAACGATCGCTGTGGGGAGTCCCAAGCAAAAGTGTATGGTATGTATACATGTATATAATATCATTTTATTGACTTGCGAAAATTAAAAAGCTCGGAATATCAGTGATATGATCATGTAGAATGATAATGTGTTATGTCATTGAATCAAAATTTTGATCAGCGTAAAATATAATTCAACAAATTAGTTATTAAGGTGTTTTTTCTTAACTTTAATTTTAAAACGTTATCTCTAAATTATATTTATTATTATTGAATTCAGGATGTTTTTTAACTCCGATGTAAACGTTTAGGTTCTGGGTCTCTGACCAAAATTCTGTAACTTCGGGTAGTATTTCTCAAATCCCATATGATAGATTCCTCGTAATGTTATATCAACATAATCATATCCGTTTTCAGAAAAAATAACCCGAAGCAATTCATTTTTATCAACTACAATCTTTATGCTTTAAAGATTTTTGTTCTATTCATTTTGATGTTTTATTTTTCAAGGTCAACAACGGGGTGTTAGGCTTGTTGTTCATGTTACTGTGAAGATTTTTATGGTGTTAATTTCAGTTTGCTATAGGTCTCAAACTTTTATACTTTTGTTTTTTTCTTTCTCACATGGGTCACCTTTAGATTCATTGGTTTTATATTTCTCTTGTTTTTGCATAAATAAGGAAGTTGCGACGATCACTACAGAGCCGGAAGTGTGACGTCGGGTGTGTATACGATATCACCTGATGACGTCAATACGTTTGACGTGTACTGTGACATGGAGAACGGAGACGGGGGCTGGATCGTTCTTCAACACAGGTTCGACAATTCGGTGCTGTTCAACAGATCCTTTGCCGAGTATGAAAACGGCTTCGGACAATTAGACGGCGAGTTTTGGATAGGCCTTGAGAAAATATATATATTGGCGCATTCCAGTCGTAAGGTCAGGTTTAATCTACAAGCGTTAAATGGAACCTGGCTACCACTTGAATACGGGAATTTCTCTATCTCCAACGCCAGTCAACAATATACCCTTCACGTGTCTAATCATATCCAAGGATTTAGCGCGCAAAGCTTTGAATACAACAATGGTCAGGTATTCTCTACATACGACAAAGATCATCGTGGTTGTGCCGCTATGCGATTTGGCGGTTTCTGGTATGATCATTGCCTACTATTAAACATCAATGGACATTTCGGACTATTAAACGATGCAAGTGGTGTCTTGGAATATACTAATGGTTCTATAAACTTTCAGAAAACATTAATGATGATACACTAATATCAACAAAATATTGATCATCAATCATCAAGCATCATTTATAAACAATGGCCAACATCTTTAGGGTAAGAAGGTCGTCTGACAGTAAAAAGAATATTATCCTTATCTGTTATGTCTCAGAAATTTCAACGCTCTGGCGTTTAGTATCGTTCAGGAGCTGAAGGTAATGCAAACACGCATGTCTGATACACTTAAGGTGCAACAGGAATCCTGAAAGATGGAATGGTTACAGTACATTTCAGCCAAAAAATGAGGCATATTCAAGAACCCTAAATTTAACATCGGAGTTGAGATATGCAAGATGAACATGTTGAACTTTGATTTGATTTAATTTAGTTAAATCGGGTATAAGTTATTAAGGCCCTTATCATTAAAGTTCATCTACATTATGTTATAAAAAGTTACCTAGGCCTTTGACTATGTTCTTGACGTTTTGGCTGGCCAATACCATTTGATTTGAGGCCGGTATGCCTTTCAACAGCTGGTTACGAAGCAGAGCTCTGCATGACCAAAGAATATAAATACACCTGGGAAAAGGTATAAGTTCGTAGCTTTTAGTGTGGTTACAGAAGATATTTTAATGTCGTTAAACTAGTGTTTAAAGGCACCAATATTAATGTCTTACTTGTGGTCTGAGCTGAACTTTTTCTGTTTTATTTTAACACATAATATCAAGTTTAATATATAAAAAATAACAGGTCTCAATACCGATATTTAATTTAAGTTTTTGAAGATTACTTTTAATTGGATTGAAATATCATGACCTTACTATTTTTAAGATTTGTTGTACCTCAAAATCACAGGAAATGAAGATCCAATATAATACTACTGCGGAATGTATCGATAATTACACGGTACATTGTATGTCTACAATGAAGGTCAATGCTAATTGTATACCACCCTTGATGATGATGATTATGATGGTGATTTCATATTGTTGTAAAAATGTTGCAATGGTGTCAAGATGATGCAAATGGCTCCATGATAAAGAGGTGAATGATGTTAATCATTGTCATGTTGACGAGGACGACGACGACGACGATGATGATGATGATGATGATAATGACGATGATGATGATGATGATGATGATGATGATGATGATGATGATGATGATGATGATGATGATGATGATGATGATGATGATGATGATGATGACGACGATGATGGCGATGATGATAATGCTGATGTGATAAGAATGGTGATAACTTCTGAATACATTGTGCTGCTTAGATGATGAAAAGGTGAAGGAAATAAAACAACTCCATTTAAAATTAATAATTTCAAGCAAATATAAAATGTTGTTATGTAATTGACAATAAAGGTATTCAAATCAATTCTTGTTCTTGTTGTTTAAAAAATAATAATAGTTGATTGGCGATGAACCTTGACCGATTCTGTACTATTAAAGTTAATAAACCTCATGAGGATGTTTAACTTTTAGGATACTTAAGTGAGTATTTAACCCAAAACAGTTAGCTGCACCAAATGGACCATGTATTCTCCGGGAGAGCAAAGACCCACTACAATGATACGAGGATAGGGATTTGATTAATCTATGCAAAATGAATGCATTTGGCATCCGTTCTGATCCTGTATGTGCTTCGACTATACATGGAATCGCCTACATATCAAACAACGTTGTGTTTAAAGACTCGAAAAGACAAAATGTTTCTATAGATGAAACATTTTGATAAGACAGTGTTCAATATTGATAAAAAAATCTTGTGAGTTTTACAAAATCCATACTGAATGGTACTAAGAATCGTAGTGAGGCGTTCTGATTATGGTTTGGTTTAGCAACTATAAAAGCCACCTATGAAACATTGTTTTTAAGGATTCTTGTGAAGTTTCGGAATCCATTACAAACGAAGCGGGTCCGCTATAAGTGGGTATTTGGAAAAATTATAATTGACAAGCGTGATAAGCTAATATTTGGTCTGTCGAAAATGTATGTGAACGGTTCCCTTGGTAATCGAACAAGTTCTTTTTACAAGCTGGTGATGTCATAGGGTTTTCAGACAAAAGTTAAGTTACTAGATGTTTTAACTGCGGACACATCAAGACACATATGCATGTACATACCTATCATGATAGTTATTGACAATGCTTTGAATATCGTGATCGAGAAATACAGACATGTAATTTTTTTTTTTCATTTTAGACTTCAAACAACTATTTCTATTTTAAATGATGGACCTGAAGATTTTTTTCCACACTAAATGTGAATTTATTTCAGCCTGCTCTCGTTTTGTTCATTTTTTTCCGAAAATGTATATATTGTCCCATTCTAGTCGTAAGGTCAGGTTTAATCTACAAGCGATGAATGGAAGCTGAGAACCTTTTGAATATGATATTTTTTCTATCGCCAACGCCAGTCAACAATTAACCCTTCACGTGTCAAATCACGTCAGAGGATTTACTGCGATAGTTTTTGAATACAACAATGGTAATAAATTCATTACATACGACAGAGCTAATCTTCATAAATGTGCTACGTCTAACTTCGGTGGAGTTTAGTAAGATAACTGTACATTTTTTAACATTACTGGACATTTTGGACTACCGGAAATGGAGTCGTAGTTTACACTGATCATTACATACAGTTTAGGAAAACGTTAATGATGATACAATGATTTCAGTAAAATCTTCATACAACTGATATACTTGTGAATTGTTCATATACTGTAATCGTAGATATTTCAGTGGTACTCTAATTTTAGCACTTTTCACGCTATAAACATTATGCTAATTTCTGATCGTGGTGATTAATGTTTCTCTATGTCTATAAAGTTGTCAATTATTCATACTGTGTGTGTGTCAATTTATGTATGCGCTAATCAGTTAAAATTCGATTGTATGCTAAACTTTTGGTCCGTTAAAAAAGAGTTATCTTTCAATACAAAAAAACGGACGTTAACAATATTATAAACGATGTGTTAAACGTTTCATATCGAATATGTTCCTTGAAAGGAGGTACCAATTGTAATCTGATTAATGAAAAATATTACCTGTAACTGAGCGAGATAGGGTTATCTCAGTCGAGTGCTAAGAATCTGTAACATAATCCCAACTGAGGCGTAAGCCGACAGAAAGCCAGAGACTGAGATAACCCAATCTTGCTCAGTTACGGGTAAAACATGATCTCGCACCTTTCAGTTCGGAAAAAGCTATTCAATTATGCTAAAGACTGCATATATCCCGTTTTGGTCCTCAGATACATATTGCCTCTACACTACGAAACCTACATTTGAATGCCTTCTCGTTAGAATGTAGTACGTCCTTACAAAGAAAATAACGTATTACATAGTGTAGATTGAATTTTATCTACAACATCAGATTTCTAACTAAATCAAAACAATACATTTAACGACAAAACAGAATATTTAAAATGCAGATAGTCAAGTTCAAGCCGTTAACGCGCGGAAGAATACATCATGTGTACAAATTCGGCGAAACGTCACGTATACGCACCAGACAGATCAGACGAGATAATAAAATCTAGCATGGGATATGACGGGGGATATCTCTATCTGAAGTGCGAGAAACTTTTATCCAGAACTGTTATGACTCTTTTGAAGTTGTATCAAAATCAAACTAAATATCAAAGACGGCTGAAGAAGATGTGTGTAGTGAATTCTTTATTCAGGGGTGGTTGGAGGACATAAAGTTGAATTTGATCAAACAAATTCCCAATAATCGTTTACTAAGCCGTACAAAACATTCATGTCCGATACACGTAAGGAGCAACAATCATCCTGGAAGATGGTATGGTCAAATTGCAACCAAACGATAAGTCATATTAAAAGATATCGGTGTTGATATATGCAAACAAAATATATTTGCCTTTAATTTTAGTATTAAAAATGATGTATTTCATACACATTACGTGGTAATATGAAACCTTGTCATTTAAATATTATTTTTGTGGTTTGAGGCCGGCATACCTCTCAAAAGCTGGAGAAATAAAGCTCCAATGTATATGATGGGTTTTGAAAAATTAGGCTCCGCAAGGCTAATGTATACAAATGTACTTAAAAAAGTGCTATTGCAGAATTCGCTTAGATTACAAAAAACAGTTAAATGTCATTAAACTATTTTAAAGGCATCAATATAATTGCAGTACTAACTTTTTATGTGTGATTGTTTCTGTTAACAGTTTTGTCGTTGTGATATTGCATTAAGTTCGTTTACCTATTACGTTTTCATTGCAGCTGCGACTGGTGTTTTGGGTTACATCAGTGGTGCACCGTGCAATCACAGGGTCGTCGTGAACTATGACGATAGTTCTATGAAACAATACCTTGCTTAAGCCATTTATATATTTCATCAATGCTACCCCGCATAAAGCTTGCAGAATAACGGTCGCAATACTCCCAACATATTCCTATATATATTTCAAATTGCTGATTCGAATAAAAAAGGTATATTGTTTTATAGAACAGTATGGAATGATAATCAAGTACAGAAAGTATATATAGGATCTCACGAAACTACCAAGATGCATTATTTAACATTCAGTAGAAAAAACTCCAATAATATTCGTAAAGCATACATTTGGCCAGGTTCAAGCTTTGATTGAATTGGAGCTAAACGCAGTCTTACCTAAGTCACCGAGGCAAACATGCAGGTCCCAGATTCTTTGGCAAATGAATGTTTTGGCTGCTGGACATTTAGTTAATTAATAATAAGGCTAAGCGCACAATTTTACCAAACAAATTGAACTAAGTGCAAAGTTTGAAAATAATCAGTGAAGTGGAAAATGTATGTCACATTGACCTACATTTGATATATTGCAGTAGTTTTCCCCGAGATATATCCTCTTATGACGGACAGACGGACCTGTCGTAAAGGTAATCACTCATTTCCCTGAAAATATTCCATATATATATATGGATTGTACTTTCATTTTCTTTCTCTTCATCCCTTGAATAATGTCATAGGAAAATTGAAGGCTCAGTGTGCGCCAACCTGTGAATGCGACGAGAAGGTCATTTGATGTACCTCAAAAGAGTTTAACGGTCTCGTAATGGTACAATTGACTGTATCTGAAGTCGGGCTTTGCTACTCTGTAATCTTCAATGGACATGTATCAGCCTAGCGATTTGTCAGGTAATTTAACATGTGACCAATCAAATAGCTAGCCGCGTGCCATCAATTTTGCTAAGACGTATCCCAGGGGTACAGAGAGAGAAAGTGAGCTCAAACCCTGTAGCATCGAGAATGCCTGTACATGGATGTCCATGTTATGTTTTTAAATTTTGAAAAATTCTGGTAAAAGCATATGTATGCCAACACGGTCATATTAAAAAAAATACAGAGTAGTATAGATACAGCCGTATCACAATAAGGTATATGTAATCGACAAGTAAAGAACAATGGGCGACAATACAGTTTAGCTGGTTACATGTAAGTGTTTATTTTTAAAATAAAAATTCAGATAAATAAATATACACTTGTATGATATCATATAGATCTTGCAAATGGTACCATCAGTATTAAAGTGATCAGTTACATAATACAATACATGAATGTATAAAATTATAGTTGATGTACATCGACTCATGTTTATCGATATCATCTTTGACTGTATAGATTTTCTCACAACCTTTATTCACATTTGTTTTATTAATTCACTTGACCTCAAATCTTCAAGATTAAATGACCATAATTAGCCTTCGATTACCCGCTTACCGATGGAATATGCTATAACAACAGCATATTTCATAGGTGTTAACTGGTTGTTTGTTAATGTATTTTATGTTGTAGTATTGATTCATAGTGACTGTTTATCTTTGTAATATGTTGTGATAGGTGAATGCTCATGTTTCTTTCTTGAATAAAGGGTTTGATTGCCCTGAACATTTGACAAATGTCTTTGTCGTTATAACTTCTATGCCTATCTATCAAGTTAAGTAATATTTGTTCGCTCAGATCACAGTGAGTCAAGGACTCATCTCACACGTGGTCGACACAAAATATACAATATTTACAACATATTTACTTGTGAGTACAACAACAAAAGAGAACTACCAACCAAAACAAATTTCTGAATTGGAATTTAGTTTAGCTCTCAGTGATCTATAGAAA